GCGTAAAGCCCTCTATTCAAGGCTGCCTATGGAACCAGAGACCTCTGGAGCCATTTGCTCGTCAGTCATTTATTAAACACCTACTACGTGCCCAACACTGTACTAGTGCTAGTCCTACAACCGACTGGACAAGTTATCTAACCCTTCCTCCTCAGCTAAACAGGAAACAACAGGCCGGGCACAATGGCTCATGTCTGTAATCCTAGCACTTTGGGAGGCCCAAGGCGGGCAGATCGCTTGAGTCCAAAAGTTCAAGACCAGCCTGGACAACATGGTGAAACCCCAGTGTCTACAAAAAAAAAATTGGCAAGGTGTGGCAGCACCCACGGATAGTCCCAACTACTTGCGGGGCTGAGGTGGGAGACTCCCTTGAGCCTAGGTGGTCCAGGCTGCAGTGAGCCATGATCATGCCTCTGCATTCCAGCCTGGGTGACAAATGGAGATCTTGTCTCAAAAAATAATAATAAATTTTTAAAAAAGGAAATAAGAGCACCTGCTGCACAGGGTGAAGAAAACTGAGTGAGGCGCCTGATATAAAGGTCTTGCACAGTGTGTGGGATCCAGTGGGTGCTTTATAAATGATATAATTCATCACTACACATCTTCTCTCCTACAAGCCTGAAAGTGACTTGAAGTTTTCTAATTTCCCTTTTTGTTCTCAGTGACTAATATTCATTCCTTGAATGCTGCAGGTACTCAGCAAAAACTCCTTGCATTGAATTTAAGAATTCCCCTGCACCTTCCCAGTTTACTTATTTCAACACCCCCCCAAAAATGCAGGAAAAAAAATAAACAAAAAAGCCATACATTACCTGAGTTAAAATACAGTGTCAGGTCTACGCACCAGGATACTGTACGGCTTCTTGCTACACCTTAACTTTCTAAGCCTGAGAAGTCTCAACTGTTATTACATAGTTAATTTCAAAGAAATACTTCTAAGCTAGCACTTTTCTCCAAACCGGTCCCTTATTTCAGCCCTAAGAACACACTATTTCTGCAGCTCCACGGACACACCACCTCCTGCTTGCTTTTCCTTCAGAGGGACGCCAGTGGACCACTCTCAAGACTTTAATCTCTATGCTGCTTCCTTTCCTAAGCAAGGAAACAAACTATCCTTGAAATTGAGCACGGGGAAGGCCAAGACCATTAACAAAAGAATGTGAACTTTTTATATAGAGAGCCCTTTAAAGCTGCTGGTTTGGAAATAAACTTGAGTCCGCAAGCTTCCCACCGAGCGTGCTTTCCTGCTTCTGACAGCCAGCAGGGCTGGAGCAGCATTGTCTGGGGAGAAACACGCCGGGACTGGCCAACTTTTCGTTAAAGATGGTGCCATCCTACTCAGAACAAAGTGAAAGGTCAACGGAGCGAAGGAAGAGCTCCGAGAGGAGGGACAGCCTCGCCTCTGCCGGCGCTCCAAAGTTGGCCGGCCCCGCTACTTTTCCTTTTGTCCTCCGCACCTCCCCGGCACCCTGGCCGAGGCCCTCCCCGCAGATCCGGCTCGCGGGCGGCGGCGGCGGCACGGGGTCCGCCGGGGGCGCGGGCGCAGGTACGCGGCCGCCTCCCTCACCTGCGCCCCCGCCCGCACCACCACCGCCCCCGGCACCGCGCCGCACCAATAGCGGCCCGGGCGGAGGCGCGGCCGCGACGCCCGGCCGGCCTCGGCCCGGCCTCGGCTGAGGGCGGCGGCGGCAGGCGGCCAGCGCGGGGGGCGGCAGGGCCCGCCGCGCCCGCCGGCGCTGCCGCCGCCGGCCGTGTTCTTCGCCCCCAGCGCCGGCCATCCGCCGCTGCCCGCCCCCCGCGCCGCCCCCGACGCCCTGCTGCCTCCCTCGGCATCGGCGGCGGCGAAATGGCCCGGCCCGCAGCGTGGCCCCGCCCTCCCGCGCGCCCAATCGCCCCGCCCGCGCCTCGCGGCCCAGAGTCGGGGCGGGGCCGATCGCCTACGTCTGCGCCTGCGCCTGCGCCCGCGCCTGCGCGTTGGAGCCCGACCGGTGCGGCGCCTGCGCACTGGGACCAGGCGTGCGGCGCCCCAGGCGCCGGGCCTGCGGCGGCCGGAAGCGGAACGCGCGCCGGCGGGATAGGAGACCTACAGCCGGAGAACCCGCCCGCCAGAGTCGTGGTAGTGGATGGGGAGTAGCCTTCCCATTTTCAACACATATCTCATTCTAAATTGACGTTCTGGTGGGCTGGCCGAAGGAGGAGAAAGACCTGCGGCTCCGACCTCTGACCTCTAACCCCGGACGCACTTTGATTTCGCCGGCTTGCGCGGAAGGCTGACTCCCTGGGCCGCGGCCTGGCGGGGGAGCCGCCTGTGGGGTGTCCCCGGCGCGGGAGGGTGCTCTGGTTCAGGCAGGTTCCCGTTGCGGCGGGGGTCCCCCGGTTGGGAGGAATGCTCCTGCCGAGGGGTGCTCCGGCTGGAGGGGGTGTCCCGAACGGCGGGGATGCCTGGACTGGCGGGGGGTGTCCCACTGGGGAGGGATGCCCGGTGGCGAGGTGCCTGGCGGGGGAGCGGCTCCGGCTAAGCATGGGTGCTGTGCTAGGAGGATGTGTCTGGCTGGGGGCGGTGTCCCAACCGGGAGGGTTGGCCTGATGGGGGAGGTTCCGCAGTTGTGGAGATGCCAACTTGGGGGGTGATCCGGTTGGGGGTGTGTGCCCTCTGGTTACCCCGCTCTCCCTGCCACCCATATACCTGCTGCCCAGGTATGCACAAGCCAAGGCCTTTTCTGCAGACCAAGTAGCCTTCGCTGGACAGCGCCCCCAGCACCACAGAAACTCTTAGGCTATATGCCCCGCTGTGGTCAGCCCGCCTTATCCCAGCCCCCAGACCCAAAACAAGAAGCATGGACTGAATTTGAGGTTTCTGGATGGTCGCGTGAACCGAGGGGACGGGCACTGTACTGACGAGAACTGAGTCTTGAAGGTCAATCTGGGTGACACCCGAGTCTCCTGGTGAGTCGGACCCCGGAGAATTATCCCAAGTCCAGCATAGACAGTGCACTCAGAGACAGAAAAGGAAACGGACAATCCCAAGTGCCAAGAGAACCTTCCCAGGTTTCTTTAGGACAGCTCAACTGCTCTGTCAAAGCTTAAGTCCAGGCCGGGCGCGGTGGCTCAAGCCTGTAATCCCAGCACTTTGGGAGGCCGAGACGGGCGGATCACGAGGTCAGGAGATCGAGACCATCCTGGCTAACACGGTGAAACTCCGTCTCTACTAAAAAATACAAAAAAACTAGCCGGGCAAGGTGGCGGGCGCCTGTAGTCCCAGCTACTCGGGAGGCTGAGGCAGGAGAATGGCGTGAACCCGGGAGGCGGAGCTTGCAGTGAGCCAAGATCACACCACTGCACTCCAGCCTGGGCGGCAGAAGAGACTCTGTCTCAAAAAAAAAAAAAAAAAAAAAACAACTTAAGTCCATTCATGACAGGCCGAGCACCCTGAGCCCTCGCAGGAGACACTAGCACCCTCCTGCCCCGCCCTGCCCCACACCCACCTCTCTGCTGCCCCTGGTGCTGTCTGTCCCTTCCCTGAAACCTTTATTTCAAGTGTCTTTGTGGCTTGCTTCTTTACCATCCTGGAGTTCAACTATCAGCTCTGCAGGGAAGCCTTCCCTCTCATCCCTAGCTGAAGTGAGACTGCCGCCCATGCCGGTCTTCCTCGCCTCACTTTGCTCCATCACAGTGTGTGACATCTGACTCTCCACATCCTGATTTGGAATATTGTCTCCCCCTAGAATGTAAGTCCATGGTGCCTAGAACAATTCCTGGTGTACAGGAGATGAAAGTATTTTGTTGACTGGGCTGGGCGCGGTGGCTCATGCCTGTAATCCCAGCACTTTGGGAGGCCGAGGCAGGCGGATCACGAGGTCAGGAGATCGACACCGTCCTGGCTAACACGATGAAACCCCGTCTCTACTAAAAATACAAAAAATTAGCCGGACATGGTGGCGGGCGCCTGTAGTCCCAGCTACTCAGGAGGCTGAGGCAGGAGAATGGTGTGAACCCGGGAGGCGGAGCTTGCAGTGAGTTGAGATTGCGCCACTGCACTCCAGCCTGGGCCACAGAGCGAGACTCTGATATCTTAAAAAAAAGAAAAAAAATTATTGACTGAATAAAGGGAGTTAAAATGTGAAGAAAAATCCTTTACCAAGCAAACATCCACCCTAAGTGAAGGTGTGGGAAGCAGCTTCAGGCAGCTTTTTCACTCCATTTTGCAATCAGCTGCTCCCCTTGTGTGCCCCTCAGCACTTGTCAAGGTGCTGCTCTCAGCACATGACATGCTAACCCTGCAAACTTCAAGTCGGTCCTGAGAGGCAGGCACTGCTCTTACCCACATTTTATAAGTGACTGAACTGAAGCAAGGGAGTGGTGAGAAGCAGTGATGGGATTCAAGCCCAGGAGGCCTTCCTTTCAACCGCAGACGACACTGCTTCCAGCAGGTACCCCACCTGTGGTACTTTCTGTTCTCCAATATTCATTTTGACCGTCCCACAATGAGTAAAATTTTAGCCAAGTACAGGACTGCGTGGCTAAAGACCACATTTTCAATGGGAAGGGGACAGGTCAGAGACAAAAAGTGACAATCTACTTCCCAGTCTGTCCCTCAAAAGTCCCACCATTAGGCCGGGCAGTGGTGAAAGCTGTTAACCACCATCTGGGAGCCAGGGATTGGAGCCACTACATAGGAATGACAGCTCTGCCATGAGGCCAGGATCTGCCCCTCTGGACTGTTCGAGAAATAAACTGTCATGCTATGAGGGTGGGGGGCTGTCTGTCCCCTACAGTCCCAGGAGTTTTTTGTGGGGTTGTTTGTTTATTTTTTGAGACAGAGTCTCGCTCTGTCCCCCAGGCTGGAGTGCAGTGGCGCAATCTCAGATCACTGTAACCTCTGCCTCCCGGGTTCAAGCGGTTCTCCTGCCTCAGCCTCCTGAGTAGCTGGGATTACAGGCATGTGCCACGATGCCCAGTTTTTTTTTTTTTTTTTTTTTTTTTTTGTACAGACAGAGTTTCATTATGTTGCCCAGGCTGATTTGAAACTCCTGACCTCAAGCAATCTGCCTGCCTTAGCCTCCCAAAGTACTGGGATTACAGGCGGGAGCCACCGTGCCGGCCTGGTCTTGTGCATTTTATAGATAAGGTAACTGACAAACCTACACAGCCACCTCTTCGTCCTACAGAACTGGAATTTGAACCCAGAGTCGTCCTTCACTACCACCTCCGTTGTTTCTGGAAGCGCGCTCCAGGCAGGCTGGCCAGCATTACAGGGCCTCCCTGGGGGCCCCTGTGGGAACGCTGCTCCACAGAGCCCTGCCTCTCAGGTCTTGGAGATGTGGGCAGGAGAGAAGCAGCGTCCCTCAGAGCCAGGCCTGGCAATGATGCCAGTAGGGGCCGAGGCAAGCCCTCCACGTGCCCGCAGGTTTCTCAGCAGGGGAAGTCCACACCACGCCGCCTGGGAACCTGGGTGCCTAAACACAGCAGGAGCTGAGGCACAAATTTAACCAGATGCCAAGGTTGCGTGAGCCCCAGCTCGTGAGCCAGGCTCCAAGGACGTTTCCTTAGGTGGCTCTGGAAGGCCCAGCGCCAGCCCCCGTCCTCTGTTAAAGGGAACCAGCCTGAGCGCAACCCCAGGGTAGCAGGGCTACCCGAGGAGCGGGCTATGCCCTGGCAGGAGCAGAGCCCAGGATAGGGTCAGGGTCAGGCCCTGCTGGAGGCTGGAGGGCACCCAAGGCGAGGCCGGTGAGGCCCAGCTCTACAAATACAGCGTTTTATTTACAGGAGTCTCTCCAGGTCCCAGCTCCCTGCCACCCCCACCCCAGCCCCAGGGAGAAGAGGGTGGACGCCAGAGGAGCTGGCAGAGGCTGGGCAGGTCCTGAGTGGGTCAGGCCAGGCCGAGAGAGAAGGCACGAGGCCCTGGGCGCCCCAGTCCCAGGGCAGAGGCCAGGCCTGCCTGGAGAAGGCAGCACGGGGTCAGCTCTCAGGGGTCAGGCTGGGGTCCACGCCGCCGCAGCTCTGCTCATAGGACGGTGGGGCCTCTGCGGGGAGAAAGCAGGGTCTGCATGGGGCTCCTGGCGTCCCCTCCCTGCCAAGCCCTGGCCCTTGACTCACCATAGGGGTAGCCCCAAGAGCTGTACTCTGGAGGAAGAATCAAGGTGCTGGTGGTAGGCACTGGCCCCCCAGAGCCCTCTGCAAAGTAGGGGACAGTGGCACCTGTTGAAATGCACAAGGGAGGCCGCAGCGGATATGAGGCAGGGCTGCCATCCTGAGGACAGGGCTCGGGGGCACCAGGCACAGAACCCAAGGTGGCCAGCAGGGGCTGCTGCTGCGAATGGCTCTTGGTGGAGAGGGAGACCGGGTCCAAGAAGTGGGGGCCACCAGCCGCAGCCTCGGCCTCCTCCTGGGGTGGTGCAGAAGGCACCACCAGGGGTGGGGCCCAGGGAGGCAGCCCTGGACCTGGCCGGGGGCTCAGTGGGGCGTGGTTCACAGCAATATTGCCAATGAAGACCGGGAGGGTCACAGTAGCTTCCGGTGCCTTCAGAGAGACCTGGACAGGATTGAGGTGGGGCATGAGGGGCCAGGGCCAAGGCCACTAGGCCTCAGGCCACCCAGCCCCCACCAGCACCAAACCTGTAAGTAGTAGTCGATGTGGATGAGGCTGCAGCCTGGCAGGGCCGACTGGGGCAAAGCAGGCACCAGGATCTGCTCATGCCACTGTGCCCGCCGCCAGGCCTTGACGCCCGCACCCTCCACCTCCGCAATGGTCCGTACGTCGTGGATCCAGCGCTTGGCCTTATAGGACACTTTCTGGGGAAGGACCAGCCTGTGAGCCTGCGCAGGCTGCCAGCCCACCCCAGGAGGCCAGTCCGGGCAACTGCCGGGGGCTCTGACCTGCAGCAGACTGGCCACCACAGGGCTGGTGTCCTTGCCTGACTGGTTCTCAATGTCGGCGTGCAGCTGCAGTGCCTGCCCCACCACATAGCCACGGAGATCAGTGCTGGCTGTGAGGACCACGCTGCCTGTCTTCACCAGCTTGTAGGAGAACTTCTTGGTGGCAGAGGCCACATTGGGTTGCTTTGGGGGAGGGCCAGGGAGAGGCTTAGCAGATGTGGGCAGGCTGGATCCCTGTGGCATCAGGACAAGCCCCTCAGCCCTGCCACGCCCTGCCCCTGGAGACCAGCAGTCAGCTCAGGGCAAAGAGGCCACTGTCTCCAGACCCTGGCCCCCCTCACCTCAGCTGGGGACAGGACACTGGGATGAAGCAGTGCCTGCCCGGCTCTTCCCCAGCCCCCACGAGGGTGGGGACCCACCAAGGAGGTCACTGTGCCATCCTCACCTCAATGTCTGGGATGCTGTTCAGATTCAGGGGGCTCAAGATATAGAACACGAGGCTGCACTTGTGATCCTTGGAAAACCGTGGCGTGTGGATGGCGGCCCTCACCTGGTGCACGATCTTCCCAAAAGGACCCTCAAAGGACGTGGGTGCTGTGGCTGGGGAGAGAACAGGCACTGGCGCCTGGCTGCCTTCACCCTGCAGAGCCCACCTCCCAGGACCAGTCGGTCACCAGGCCTGTCCAGGCTGGGCTCTTACCAGGAAGCAGGAACTGGAAGGGGAAGCTGTGCTCACCAGCGGGCAGACTCCCTGCAGAGACAGGAGGGAGGTGGGGGCGGTGGGGACAGGCCTCCGGAGGCCTGAGGTGGCCACAGGGCCAAGATAAGAGTAGGACTGCAGCTGACCAGCTCACACGGGGTCTCCCTGTCTCAGTCACCAGCAGCACAGGGCTGTGGCCTGGGTGAAGGACTGAGGGTAAGGGCTGGAATAGGAGAGTGGTTTGGGAATGGGGCAAGGGTGAAACAGCTGTGCCAGGAGTCAGAGCCCACCCACATCCAGCACAAGTGGAAGGTGGCCCCTTCAGCCACCCAGCCCCTATGAGAAACCCATCAGGGCCCACAACCCTGGGAGAAGATGGGCCAGTGCAGGATCCAAGAGGCAGGTCTAGGAAAGGGGGAGGACAGGCAGGCCCCACTCCAAGGGGTGCCCCCAGGGGTCACCACTTGGGACCAGGTCAGGAACTGGCTCCCAGACTTACCCTTGTCCGCCAGCGACAGGGAACTGTTGAAGTAGTCCTCCTCCGCTACCCACGCTGCGTCGTTAGCCTTGTTGGAGACCCCGCAGGAACCCGTGCAGGTCACCCGGATGGCTGCCAAGGGGAAAGCTGCATGAGCCCCAGCCAGCCGACGGCCCAGGAATTCGACCTGGGGCCCAGCAGCCCCGCCTGGGCAGGGTCCTGGGAAGGCCAGTGAGCAAGCAGCCCCTGCCACTTCAGGGGACACCTCCTGCCCGTCTCCAAGGGGGGGCTCCAAGGGAGCCGGGCTGGCGAGGGGCCTGACCAGCACAAAACAATGTCTGCCCTGCAGCCCAGAGCAGAAAGGCCCCAGCGCTCATCCAGACGGCGGCTGGGTCGTCCCCCAGACTGGTAACCTGGCTGTGAAAGCCCAGCTGCTTGCGGGGATCTTGGGGGGGGGGCGCCTAGGGGTGTCGGGGGGATGCCTGGGACACTCCAAGGGACGGACGCGTCTTCTTGCTGCCCTGTAGACAAGTCAGTTAGGCAGGGAAGGACCCCTCCACGCTCCAGGAAGCTAAAGCTAACTGGCAACCATCATGCTGCAGGAATGTGGCCAGACCCGCCTGGGCAGACAGTGTTCCACAGTCGGCACACCGCTGGGTAGGGCCCTACTTCCTGGGCCAGCACTGCCCAGCGGGGCTGACTTTCTGCATCAGGAGACGGCTTGGTTCTCTCTGGCCTCCCCGGGGGAGTGCCAGACCAGGAACTGCTTGAGGCAGAGGTTGCCACTGTTCTGTGGCCAGGAACACAAATTCCTCAGTCCAACAGATGTGTGTCCAGAAACCACGATGGTCAGAAGATCATGGCTGGACAACCAGGTCCAGCAGAAACTGGTCACAAGGGAGGACAGACGCAGCAAAAGCACACACAGCACCAGACCCAGGTGGGCAGGGGTTGGGGGAGCCATCAGCAGGCCACCCGCAGCTCCAGCCCCTCTTCTCCCTGCAAGGCTGAGTCAGGGCCAAAGATGGCCACTTCCCTGCCTCGTCCTGGTGGGGGTCACGTGAGGGGAAGGTGACTCAGACTCTCAGACCTGCTGAGGGAGCAGCCAGGGAGGAGTATCGGTGTCCGGTGCGCCCAGGGCCAGCCATACCTGCCTCCCCTATGGTCTCCCCAGCAGGCCCCACCTGTGGCCCAGGCCTTCTGCCGGCCACCGAGAGCAGCAGGGTTCTTCTCAAAATCCTTGGCCCAACCGCAGCCCCACGTGGCTCTCCATACACATCCTGCCCTTCCCCTCAGCAGCTGCCAGACCCAGTCCCCCATCCCTGAGGGAGGCCCTTGCTTCCTGCTACACGTCCTCTAGCCCCTGGGCACTGCCATGGCCTGGCCTCAGCCTCCATTCCAGCCCAGCCTTGCCACCCCAACCTCGGTCCATTTTTTGTTTTCGTTTTTTTTTTTTTTTTCTGAGACACGGTCTCACTCCCGCCGCCCAGGCTAATGTGCAATGGCACGATCTCAGCTCACTGCAGCCTCAACCTCCTGTGCTCAAGCGATCCACCCATCTCAGCCCCCTCGAGTAGCTGGGACTACAGGCACATGCCACCACACCTGGCTTTTTTTTTTTTTTTTTTTAATAGGGTTTCGCCATGCTGTCCAGGCTGGTCTCAAACTCCTGAGCTCAAGCAATCCACCTGCCTCAAACTCCCAAAGTACTGGGATTACAGGCATGAGCCACCATACCCAGCTCTGCCCTGATTTTGAATCCATGCTGTGTTAGCCAGGCCCTCCTAGGGCCAGACCCTTACTGTTTCCAGGCTGAACATCTGGAATACTGGTGATTCTCCTGTGAGCAAGCAGATAGCCCAAGAGGAGCACACAGGCATCAGCAGGCACAGAGGAGGCGGGCGTGGCTGAAGCAAGGAGAGGAGGCCTGGGGACTGGAAATGCTGCAATGCCTTTAACACTCCTGACAGACTGCACATCCCCGCCTTGAATCCCACAAATGCTGGGACCCAGCTGGGCACGGTGGCTCACACCTGTAATCCCAGCCCTTTGGGAGGCTGAGGCGGATGGATCACTTGAGGTCAGGAGTTCAAGACCAGCCTGGCTAACATGGTGAAACCCCATCTCTACTAAAAACACAAAAATTAGCCGGGTGTGGTGGTGTGTGCCTGTAGTCCCAGCTACTCGGGAGGCTGAGGCAGGAGAATCCCTTGAACCCGGGAGGCGGAGGCTCCAGTGAGTGGAGATCACACAAATGCACTTTAGCCTGCGTGACACAGCAAGACTTCATCTCAAAAACAAAAAAGAAAAACGCTGGAACCCACAGAGGATGCTGTAAAGGGAGCAGTGGTCCCCAGACTAACTGGTATGCCAGCCAAGCACCCTCAAGTGATCCTGGCTGGTGGCACAGAACTGAATATTCACCCTGCCCCCACTGTCCATATTCCTAACCCACAACACTGAGAGATATAATAAAATCGTTGTTTAACTGTAGAATGGTGTGTGACTTGAGTGACAGCTACTTTTATGTAGTAGTCCCAGCTACTCAGGAGACTAAGGCAGGAGATGCATGAACCCAGGAAGGCAGAGCTTGCAGTGAGCCAAGATCGTGCCACTGCACCCCAGCCTGGGCGGCAGAGCGAGACTCTGTCTAAAAAACAAAAACAAAAAACGGCTAGGTCTGGGCTCATGCTTATAATCCCAGCACTTTGGGACGCCGAGGCCGGCAGATCACGAGGTCAGGACATCGAGACCATCCTGGCTAACACGGTGAAACCCGGTCTGTACTAAAAATACAAAAAATTAGCCGGCGCGGTGGCGGTGCCTGTAGTCCCAGCTACTTGGGAAGCTGAGGCAGGAGAATGGCATGAACCCGGGAGGCAGAGCTTGCAGTGAGCCGAGATCGCGCCACTGCACTCCAGCCTGTGCAACAGAGCTAGACTAAGTCTCAAAAAAAAAAAGAAAGAAATTAGGGAAAACCCAAATTATCTACCATTTCAATCCATCAGATTGACAAATATTAAATGTCTCGACACAGCTGGGCGCAGTGGCTCACACCTGTAACCCCAACACTTGGGGGGGCCAAGGCGAGCAGATTGCCTGAGGCCAGGAGTGTGACAGCAGCCTAGGTAACATGGTGAAACCCCGTCTCTACCAAAACTACAAAAGATTAGCTGGGTGTGGTGGCGTGTGCCCCTGGTGCCAGTCACTCAGGAGGCTGTAGTGGGAGGACTCATCGCTTGAGCCCTGGAGGCAGAAGTTGCAGTGAGCCAAGATCGCACCACCGCATCCCAGTGTGGGTGACAAAGTGAGACCTCATCTCAAATAAAATGAATGTCTCGAGGCCGGGTGTGCTGGCTCACGCCTGTAATCCCAGCACTTTAGGAGGCTGAGGCGGGTGGATCACTTGAGGTTGGGAGTTCGAGACCCACCTGACCAACATGGAGAAACCCCGTCTCTACTAAAAATACAAAAAAAGCAGCGCAGCGTCGTGACACATGCCAGTAGTCCCAGCTACTCGCGAGTCTGAGGCAGAAGAATCGCTTGAACCAGGGAGGCGGAGGTTGTGGTGAGCAGCTGAGATTGCGCCATTGTACTCCAGCCTGGGCAATAAGAGCAACGTAAATGAATAAATAAATGTATGTCCCACCACACGTTGGAGGGAGGTGGAAAACAAACACCCCTTACACCAGTCAAATTGCAGACAGGTATGAGGTACTGGCAAAGAGTGGGACAGGTCTACTGTAAATTTACCTGTGCATACCAGGAAACCCAGAATTCCGCTCAGAATCTCATGGTATTTAACCAGGAGCCTCACACACCACTGCTCATACTAGCAAAGCATCGCTAAAACCGTCATGGGACACCTGACTCCACAAAAACAAACAGTATCCAACTGACCCTTGGGTCATCCTAAGGGCCCAGGCTCTGTGATCTTCCCAACGCCCATGCAGACGGCCCTGTTTTGCACATACACCAAGGCTCTTTCAGATGACTCTGCCAGCGTGAGCAACCTCCAACCACTGTCCAAAGTGAGACCTGTCCTGAGCTGCCCACACTCTCCTCAGCAAGAACACGGGAGGCACGGGGCTCCCGCACAGCTGGTTCCTTTCCAGCTGGAAAGCTGCTTCCTTTCCAAAACACCTGGAGCTGCTCCTCCACCTCTCAGCAACTGCTTCAGGCCAGGCTGGCTGAATTCCACAGGGAGCCCGTTTTCACTGGCCAGGCCAGTGGCAGCGGCCATGTTTCTGCCTTTTCAAACCATCGAATCAGGCAGGACCACAGGATGCAGTTCTGCCCACAGAAGCCAGAGCTGTGCGTGGGGTCCACTGTGAGGGGTCTCCTTGCTGCCGGAGAGAGGCATATGACCCCACTCCCTCTTCTTTCCAGCTTGCAGACTGCTTGTAATGGCAGAACAGGCTGAAGGGAACCAAGCCTTTTGCAACAGGAAAGCCGCCAGGCAGGGCTTGGCTGCAGGACTGAGTGGCTCAGTGGCAGTCGCCTAGTCAGAGTGTGACTTCTTCCGCCTTCTGGACTTGAATGTTGCACCTCTTTGCAGGGGCCCTGCAAGCCCTGTCCCTCTTCCCCCATGCAGGTTTAAAAATGTTTCCTAGGCCGGGCATGGTGGCTTACACCTGTAATCCCAGCACTTTGGGAGGCCAAGGTGGGCAGATCACAAGGTCAAGAGATCGAGACCATCCTGGCTAACACGGTGAAACCCCGTCTCTACTAAAAATACAAAAAAATTAGTCAGGCGAGGTGGCGGGCGCCTGTAGTCCCAGCCACTCCGGAGGCTGAGGCAGGAGAATGGCGTAAACCCAGGAGGTGGAGTTTGCAGTGAGCCGAGATCGCGCCACCGCACTCCAGCCAGGGGGACAGAGCGAGACTCCGTCTCAGAAAAATAAATAAATAAAATAAAATAAAAATAAAAAATGTTTCCTAAGTGTGTTCAGATGCACAACCAAGGACCAGCTGTTGGAGGCTGCTCTGACTCAGGAAGCTCATGATTGGGCCGTGTTCTCGAGGGACCACTGGAACTTTCTTCTCGAGTTCAGGAGCCCCTCCTTTGCACCACCTACACTTGGACCAAGAAGACCCATCAACTCCTCATCCTCATCCCAAAGGACTCATGCCTGCCACAGAAGCTGTGACCTGTAAGCCACTCCCCCAGTCCTGTTTCCAAATCTGTATCATGAGAGTAACAACCATGCCACAGGGTGCTGAGCGTTACTGAGGCTGGCCCATGGGATGTGGAGAGAATTTGCATCAGGCCTACCATGAGTGCTCCAAGAACCACTGTCGATCCTGGTCGCCCATCCCAGTAACAGAACACGAGGTGGTCCTGCCTGACCCCCAGCCCTGGATTGGGCCAGCCTGGGCTCCAGAAAACTGCTCCTTCCCAGGCCTCCCTCTGCGTCAGCCCTCGAGACAGCAGGCGTCCTCATGGCTGGGTGCTGACCGTCACCGACACTCATCGGCAGAGTGAGTGAGCAAGCCCAGGGGCCCAGGCAGGGCTGCTGTCCTCCTGCGGGCTGAGGGCCTCCCTACTGGCTCCTAGCAGGTTTGACAAGCATCCTTTGAATGAGGAAACGATGACATTCCGTTCCCATCCCAGGCAGGGCTGGGGGAAACCCCCAGGAACCCCTGTACAACCCTCCCACCTCACTTGCAGCAGCCTGAAATATGTGCTCTCCGGCCCATCAGGGCCCATCTCCTACTCCCTAGTTCATGACCCTCCTTTGTCTCCCTCACTCGGACCAGCCTCTGTGAGCCAGTGCTACCTCAGCTCTTGGGCCAGCTGCCCAAAGTGCTGGGATTACAGGCGTGAGCGTTCACCCACCCACCACGTCCACCCGGAGGCCGGGGAGCCTGCTCACCCAGGCCAGTCACGCACCGCGAGGCCATCCCTTCCCTGTGGTCAGCAATGGCCTGCTCGCCCCAGGCCGCGCCAGGGGAGGGACGACAGGGCCCTGCACTCCCCTCGGCCCGCCTCACCCCACACCTCACCTGTATTCAAGGGATGCATGTGCTATCTCTGCCCTGCCACAGCCACACCTGCCCCCACCCAGACCCCAAACTCAAGGTGGGGACAGAGGAAGGGAGCCTGTAGGGTCATCCCAGGAGGCCCAATGGGGCCAGGAGCCTGACAGAAGCACCTACCACCAGGCTTCTTCGAGGTCCCACAGCCCCAGGCGGTGCAGGGTCAGGGCCACAGCACCATCACCTGTCCCAGGAGGCTGAGAGGACAGAACAGAGGCTGTGGGTTCTCAGCAGGCACAAAAGCGGTGCTGTCACCCACGCGCAGGCCCAGCGGTCAAGGTCCAGCGGAAAGCCCACGGGCTGTGGCCAAGCAGCCCAGGTGGTTCCCACAGGAGGCCAAGGTAGAGAAGCCCGCGGCAGGGACGCGGCACTCACAACCAGGGGCCGGGCAGAGGCCTGTGCGGAGGCCCCCATCCTCGGGAGGCAGCCTCACCTCGCTGGCCTGCCCTCACCTCCAGGGCGCCCTGCCAGCGGCCACTGCAGCAACCCGATCCCCAGTCCCCGAGGCCCAGGCGTCCGCCTCGGCGGGGGGCGGGCGAGGCCTGCTGGCGCGGGGCAGGGGGCGCGGGGAGCCGCAGCAGGTGCCTGCACCCCGCCGGGACCGCACGCCCGGGCCAGGAGCGGCTCTGCAGAGGGAGCGCCTGCGCCGGGAGCCCGGGTGCGGGAAGGAGCCCAGCAGGTGCGAGCGCGGACAGGGAGGGTCGCAGGCCTGCGTGTGCCCGCACTCAGGGCGTCCTCCACCGTGGACCCGCTTCAGGCCCCGGCTTCAGGCCCCGCCGGGACCACGCCGACCCTCGGCGAGAGGGCAGGAAGGGCAGACGCGGAAGGGCGGCGCCGCCCGGACCTCCCCGGCGCCGCTGAGCCCGCGCCCCAGCAGTCCCGGGCGGCTACGACAGCGACTTCGAGGGCCCAACCCCGGGCCCGGCGACGGCAGCCGCTTCCGGGAACCCTGGCCCCGCGCAGGTGCGGCCAATGGCCCTCCCCGAGGACCCGCGCCCACCTCGGAACGGCAGCGGCGCCCCCAGGCGCACGCGCACGGTCCCAGCCAGCGGCTCCCCGGGGCTGTAGACAACGCGGTCGTGGCTCAGGCTGATCTCGAAGAGCTGCACTCGCCCCATGCCGCGGCCTCACCGGCCCGCCGCACAGTGACGCCCCCGCCGGCCGCCCGCGAGCCCCGGCTCCGAGGTCCGGCCCCGCCCCCTCCTATGCCCCGCCCCCATCCGTCCCAATCCAGGCCACGCCCCCGTCCGGCCCTTCCCAGGCCCTGCCCCGCCCCACGGCCCCGCCCAGACCCCTGGCAGCCCCATCGCCCGCGGGCTGCCGCTCGAAGGCCCGGCCCCGCCCCTATTCCCCGCCCCATCCGTCCGCGTGGCCCCGCCCTGATTATGCCCCGCCCCTCTGACAGCTCCTCGCCCCGCCCCCACCCTTCGCCCCTGCCTCGCCTTCCCAGCTCCGCCCCTGCCTCGGCCGCCCCACCCCTGCCCCGCCCCCCGGCCCCGCTCATCCATCCCCGGCCCCGGCCCCCGCCCCGCTGGGTAGGTGCTGCGCTGCGTCGGGCGCCGCTTAAGGGACTTGAGGCGAAAGAGTCCCCAGCATCCCCCACTGAGGGAGTCACCGTCGCGTCTCTGTCGGGGGCGGGGCTGGGGGCGGGGCCGAGGCGAGCTCTGGGACTGGGAAGGGCTCCCCGCTGCGCTCTGCATAACCCACGCCTCGCCCCAACCGGGTCTCCTCACCGGTTCGCGGAACAAACGTCCACTGGGCCGCGCGGGCTCCTGGGCGGGGATGCTCCGCCGGCCTAGGCACGTGCCTGCCTTTAACCCAGCCCCCGGCTCTACCCCGCACCCCCCGCCTTCCCCGCACCTACCCCGCGTCCCAGCACCTGTCCTGCCCCTTCGGAACCTGCCCGCCCTCCCGCCTTCCCGGTACCTGCCTGCCCCCGCACCTGTCCCGCCCTCCAGCACCTGCCTCGCCCAACCACCGCCCCCCCGCCCGCCCCCTGCCTTCCCCACACCTGCCCGGAGTCCCAGTGCCTGCCCCGCCCTCTGCTATCCCCCTCCCTGCTGGCCTGATGGGGTGCGGGCCCAACGGAGCCACACTTGGGCGGAGGCCCTGGGGCGGGGGTGCGCAACAGAAGGGTCGGGGGCCAGGTGGGGCGAGGACTTGGATCACTGGGAACCGGAGAAATGCACTCCTATTTATCTTTCTTAAAGATCCTTTTGTAGAGAGTGAGCTGCGGGGAGGTAGGACTCAAATACCCCGGGGACCTAAGCGGGGAGAGAACCGTTGGATAGTCCTGGAGAGGGAAGGCCTCCCTCGCCTACGGACAAGCTCACCATGGAGTGGGTGAGGCAGGCCCCAGTGCTGCGAGTTTTTCTAGGACAGCTGGTGAAGAGGGTGGCCTTCTCTGATGGGGAGGACGGGCCTAGACACACATGGTTTGCTGGTGGGAGACTCATCACATGCGGAGTCTGAGGTGCCACTGATCCCCAAGTGGACCAGGTACTTCCGTGCATGAGCCTGGGAGTCAAGCACTTAAACGTTGCCATCCCTGGTTGGTAGAAGGTAATAGGTCAGGAAGGAGGAGTCCGGCACCCCAGCAAAAGGAGAGGGGCTCACAGGCTGGAGGGGCCCCCAGGCCAGGCTGGGAGAGGCCCTGAAGCCCCAGGCCCAGCTGACTCCCTTGGGATTCCAGTGTTTCAGGAGGTGGGTCTAACTGGCCACGCTCCAGACACTTTCCTGCCAAGACTATGCACACGCAGAATTCCCGAACAAGAGAGAAGGGTGCCATGGGATGGCAAGGATTGTGGACAGCCCTCCCGAATGGCAGTCAGCCATGCCAGAAGTCAGAAAGAAAGAGTTTCACCAGGCACGGTGGCTCGTGTCTGTAATCCCAGCACTTTGGGAGGCTGAGGTGGGTGGATCACAAGATCAAGACCATCCTGGCTAAAACGGTGAAACCCGTCTCTACTAAAAATACAAAAAATTAGCAGGGCGTGGTGGTGGGCACCTGTAGTCCCAGCTACTCAGGAGGCTGAGGCAGGAGAATGGCATGAACCCGGGAGGTGGAGCTTGCAGTGAGCTGAGATCACACCACTGCACTCCAGCCTGGGCAACAGAGCGAGACTCCGTCTCAAAAAAACACAAACAACAACAACAAAAAGAAAGTGTTTCAAGCAGGGAGAGACAGATTGTGTTGCAAGCTACTGAGATGGAAGACAATGGACACAGAACACAGGTGGCCTTTATCCCATGTCAGCCACAGTCTAAGCCCCACAGGGCTCTGCACATCCTTGTTTCTGACCCTATCTCCCACCCATCCTGTATTCCAGAAACCACCACCAGCACCAATCGCCCTGTCATTAGACTCTTCTCTTCTTCCCCCAGCATACTTTCAGTGGTGCTCTAATGAAAACCTGGCTTCCCCTGGAGCTTTCGGGTGCAGAGACTTCTCTTCACAGGATCCCTCCACCTCTGGGTCTGCAGGTGGGGTGGGGGCCCTCCTGGCTCCTTCCTAACACTGCCAGGCCACTCTCCACCCTGGGAGCCACCATGTGTAAGCCTCCTGGTCTCAGAATCACCAGCACCACCTTTGCTCTGATCAGCATCCTCATTTCTTGTTGATTTTAGCTCCTAATTCACTGTCATTCTCTCCACCTCCACGTGTGGAAACAGTGCTTCTGAATCCCTGCGGGCAATCCTTCCAGCCTCCTGCCCTGTATCCTAAAAGTACATGGGCTTTGTTTGAATCAGGTATGGTAAAGTGACAGACTAGGAGACAAGTGCCACAAAGGAAGAATTTAGTACTCGCGGTTCTCAGGAGGAGGGGCCCTGCCACGCCATGCAGGGCCAGAAGGGGAAGTACCAGGGTCATGAGGAGCCAAGAGAGAGCATGGCCCAGAGCCTTTTTGTGTTTTCCTCAGGGTGAAAATGGACAAGGCAGGGTAGGTAGGTGTAAGCAAGTTTAGGATTAGATAACTTGAATCGTATTGGCAGGCTCTAGGTCACAGCAGGGGGCTCTAGCTGTCTGGTATCGGCCCCTGGGGGATGCAGGGCAGGAGAAATGCTGGCTTGGGATGTGAGAGTCACATCAGGAAGAGGTTGGGGATATGGGCTCTGGATTGGTGTTGATAAACTTGTTTGCTAGCTCTGGGAATTAGCCAGCCCTGGGAGGGGCAGTGTCTCCCTGACTAGTAAAGCCTCCAAGATGTCAAAGCATAATAACATACAGAAAATGAAAAGTGTGGGCTGGGTGCAATGGCTCCGCCTGTAATCCCACTACATTGGGAGGCTGAGGTGGGCGGATCACCTGAGGTCAGGAGTTCAAAATCAGTCTGGTCAACATGGTGAAATCCCATCAATGCTAACAACACAAAAAAATTAGCCAGGCACGGTGGTGGTACACGCCTGTAATCCCAGCTACTCGGGAGGCTGAGATAGGAGAATCGCTTGAACCCAGGAGGTGGAGCTTGCAGTGAGCCGAAATTGGGCCATTGCACGCCAGCCTGGGCTACAAGATCAAAACTCTACCTCAAAAAAAAAAAAAAAAAAAAAGAAAGAAAAAAGAAAGAAAGAAAAGTGTGGTAAACACGTGTCCGTCTTGTGGCTCCTCCTCCAAAACCGTCCTCGACCTCGGCAGTCTCCCTCTTAGGGCTTGGTGGTTTGTCCTCAAAGATTCCGCCAAACTTTGCATTAGTGCTGCTCTTCCCACCAGGGGGCTTCCCCAGGAACCCAGGCTGGCCCACAACTTGCTTTAACTGGAAGAATTGCAATGAAACAGGCTGGGCGCAGTGGTTCAGGCCTGTAATCCCAGCACTTTGGGAGGCTGACGTAGGCGGATCGCTTGAGATCAGGAGATCGAGACCAGCCTGGCCAACATGGTGAAACCCCATCTCTACTACAAATACAAAAATTAGCCGGGAGTGGTGGCGCATGCCTGTAATCCTAGCTACTCAGGAGTCTGTGGCAGGAGAATCGCTTGAACCTGGAAGGCGGAGGCTGCAGTGAGCTGAGACTGTGCCTTGTACTCTAGCCTGGGCAACAGAACAGGATTCCATCTCAAAAAAAAAAAAAAAGATTGCAATGAAACAGAGGCAGTGCCG